CAAACTTGGTAACCTGCAGTTGACTGCTACTGGTAGGCCTATTTCACAGTTTATAGCTTTTATAAAATAGACCAATCGATAAGCCGACAGGCATTGGTGGTCTGAGAGGGTCTCCCCCCCCCCACCCTTGGGCAAAAAAAAATTAAAATATGAAGAAAAAAAAAATTCTAGACCTAACTTTTCACGACCCGTGAGCTGAATTTTTTTTTGTTTCAAATGGAAAAATTAGAAGTCGGGAAAGCTCATTTCCGCAATCTAGGAATCACTTTTTATTTATTTATTTACCGGTATTTATTTATTTATTTGTTTATTTGTTTGTTTGTTAGTTAGTTTGTTTATTTATATATTTGCTCTTATTTAGTTTATTATGTATTTATTAAGGGATCCCTTCAAGACAAGTTTTTCCTTCTATTCTATTTCTTAACTCGTACAAATGATTGTATTCTTATGAAAATTAAATAAATAATGTATATGAAAAAAGCAAAATATATTCATTGTTGGTATAAAGAGAACACAAGGTTAACTTGGAAAAAACTATTTGAAGTAAAAATATTGTACTGATATTTGTTTAATGCAGATTATTTTTGAATAAAGGTGGTGGTCATGCCACGAAAGAGAGAGAAAAAAGTTGTTCCTTCTAGACAGGGATCCTTAAAACAGTTCGTTTAATTGCACAATTTTGATATCTTTATATCTATATTTGTATTATATATTTTCAATATTAATGTATTTAACTGTTGAGTATTGAGCTGTTGTAAAATAAAAAGTGAACTGAAAATTTTCACGGGGGGAGATTTATAGAAAAAGAATACGTCAACGTCAATTTTTTATGTATGTTATACACACATAATTGGCTTGAGTAATAAGAAGGAGAAAAATTGCCTGACCGTTTTCAAGAGCGGGAAAACCTTGAATTTTGAAGAACTTAAATGTCATTAAACGACACCTCAGAAATACAAATTTTCCCGGATGTCGATAAAAAGAAAGAGCACGTCAAAAAAAAAGGAGGAATTTAATAAATGGAACCAGCTGGAAGGTAGAAACCAATGATGATGATGATGATTAAAAGGTCTTAGCAATTCTTGTTTAATTTTAGATATTGTCTTATTATATGAAGCTTTAATAAATTGTTGTTAAGATTTTCAATCGGTCTTGGATCGGATATCAATATAATTTCGCGTTCAATATCAATTTAACATTCAATATTGTTAGAATTGAAAGGCTCTAACACACGATTAAAATTAATTGAGAGCGTTCAATATCATTTTCGTGACCTAGGAGCCTAAAATGTAGAAGAAACTGTAACTTACCAGAAGTGTAACAAAATTAAAGGTAATATATATAAGGATAATAAACTACCGGTATATCGATCAAACTGTCATATAATCAATCGACTTTGCAGATATACTATTGAATTGTATTGATCCTTTTCTTATTCGTATCGATCTCACACACACCTTATGTGCTTCAGAGACTTTGATAATGGGTGTGGCATTTCTGTTATCTGATTGTTATAGAAAAATTAAAAGGGTGAAGGATCTATATTGATTTTGTAATGTTATACGTAAATCATATCGATATGACACGTCAGAGAATTCAAATCTTATTGGGAGTATTAACTAAGTCGAGAAATTTAGCGGTATTATGTCGATTTTTTATTATAATGGTTTTAGTAGCGCCTGCCAATCAAAGTCAATTTGGCACATCCTTGTTTAAAGACTTCAAGCCAACTTGGATTGACATCGGTAAGTTCAAAAAACATACAATATACCGTACCACTGACCCATCTCCATGGCTGTAGGCCTAATATTTTGTATTGATTGCTTTTAGCGAATGAGTACAAAAGGATTAGTAAATGGATTGTGCCTTCAATTCAAACTGCATAAATACGTTTTATTTTGACTGTATTTATGCTCAGTGGCTCCTACGGATCACAAAAATACTATCCATGTTTGCAAATGCCACATACAGGCCTACTTTTAAGCGTAAATAATATATAATTTATTCATATAGGCATAGTAAGCATAGACGTAATTCTGGTATAATTTACATTTGAATGCTATGAAAATGAAGTTAAACAAGGTTAATTTAAACATAACTCCTTGGGTACCATAATGTAAGAATCAGCCTAAAAACGACTAGGTAAAAAATAGCCCCATTTTGAAAAAAAAAATCCACTGTTTTGTCGAAATAGATGATTTTTCGAATGTGCCATTTTCCGGTTGTTTTGTGTTCTGTGGCACATACGAATCATACAAGTGTGTTTTGTGGCACCTACCGACCCCACAAATGGAGGAATCAGCAGAAAAACCTGTAGCACATACCAGATCAAAAAAATACACACCAAGTTTTAAAATTACACACCAATTTTTCCTCTTAAAGTCAGCTTAAAATTATTAATATATATTTAATGATCTTAATTCCGATGAAGTATAGGCCTAAGTGTCTGGCATAATTAAAAAACATTGTGCTAAGAAAATAATTTTTCAACAAATTAAATTAAAACATCGTACAGCGTTGGTTGTAGCTGCCGGAACTCCATTGAGGCCGGTAAAGTCCCCCCCCCCACCCCAGTGGGGTCCAAGAGCAGATTGACCCAGGTGGAGGTTTGGGGGGAATGTCTCAAAGCTACAGCATTTTATGTATTTAGATAAAATAAATAAATGATTACTTTAGAAATTACATCTTGAAAATATTGCACTTTTATTGTCCCACGCTTCCTCTGCTGGCCCCACCCTCTGTTAGTGCGTACAACAACGGAGGCAACTTAATTCTTCGGGTTTTCACAATTAATATTTGTTATTATAATTGATTACTGATTGTGCATGCATGTGTACGTGTGTATATCGCAAAACCTCGAATAGGCCTATAAGCCCAATGGGCTTTAATCTCGAGAAGTAGCCCATCTCGAAAAGAAAACCATCCTTTTAATTTGCAACAGTATTCTCGAAAAAGAAGCCCATCTCGAAAAGAGGCCATACTTTTAATTTGCAACAGTAATCTCGAAAAAGAAGCCCATCCCGAAAAGAAGCCATACTTTTAATTTGCAAAAGTAATCTCAATAACAAGCCCATGAGAATCAAGATAGTATGGGCTTCTTTTCGAGATAATATTTATTACATTGTAAAATACGAATGTTAAAAAACAGAAATAAACGATTAAAAACACTGAATTATCAGTTAAGCATACTATGTGATATGCAGACTGACGTTTTTTTGAGGATGTGTCAGTTCAACGTGATATTTATGTAGCATGGTTAAAATTAAATTCCTGCACGATTATAACAAGGGTACTGGGTTTGGTCAACAGGATTGTGTGTAGGCCTATGCATACGATTTGTAGAAGCTGTTTAATGGAGAAAGTGTATCTGTTAAGACGGTTGCCAGGTTGAAGCTAACCGCGGCTATATAAATTTATAAATAAATTTATTAGAAGATTGAAGATTGTTAATATAATTATATTACAAATGTACACACGTTTAATATTATAAGGCCTATCATTTGTTATTTTATGGTAATAAATGATATCAAAAGCTTTATTTTTGTTGTATTGTATATATTTAGTTGTCCAAGAGATTGTCGTCGGCATATTTCGATCGTCATTATAATTGAAAAAAAATGATATTTTAATATTTGTGAGTTTTAAAATAATCAACAGAATTTCGAATTCCATGGTTGAAAAATATCTTAAGTACATATACGGTTTTAGTAGCGATTCCAAAATAGTTATAGCATTTATTTTGCAAGGAAGCCATCCTCTTCATCGTGTTTGCAAAAACAATCTCGAAAAGAAGCGCATCTTGAAAAAAAATGCCCATCCAAAGGTCATTAAAAAAGAAGCATAGGGCTTCTATTCAAGGTTTTACGGTATGATGCGTTCGTGTGTCTATATCACGGTAACATCCAGAAATTATAAACAAATAAACACAAAGGTTATTTCAAAAATGGTAACTTCTTTAATGTTTATTTTCAATGTTGGAATTCAGCATTATAAAACATGGCGCCATTAGCAAGTGTTAAAAGAACGACGACGATTTGGCAGTACATTGTAAAATGAATACTAATAAGCTTTGACCCTGTCTAATAAACTGGCGGGAAAAAAGATATAGGCCTACTACGATTATTAATTGACAAAAAAAAATCGTTAAAAAAAGACATCACAAATTAATTAATTTTGTTCATATAAAACACTTCGGACTATTAAGCGACAAACATTGTAACCACAGGTTTACATTAAGGGAGTTTAGGCATATAGTTGGTAGATCTAATGGATAGGGGTATGTAGGCCTATGTGGCCAGGATCTAACTATAAAGTACCTCGTGTACCGATGCTGTATTCTCCAAAACACTTATGTTTCACATTTACTTAATTAAATCCAATATAACATTTATTAATTAAACATACTTCACGTAATGTTATTCTAATCATGGCGGTCTTATATATTTAATAACACCTCTAAGGTTTAATGTTGTATTTCAAAGGTAATACGGCAACTATAACGCAATCTAACACAAATTTCTACCGTGTGATTAACAACGTTAAAGATTGCAGTAAAAGAGAGAGAGGCATAAGTCATACTACTTTCATACTAATATAAACTACAATTGCTCCATACATAGGCTACAGATATTTATCACAATGTGTTTAAAAACTATCAATGCAACTTCTATAGAACATTTTTTTCATTATTGATTACGTCACATATGGGGGAAAAGCATGACAGTACAGTACCATAATAATACACTTAAAGGGAATTTTCAAGCTACGCATTGCTACATTAAACTACACAAGCCTGACTACCCCAGTCTGTAGTACATCTTTTAAAAAGCCGTACACAGAGGATATGGATGACGTCATCATATTATTTATTATCATATTGCAAAATAATAAATCTTATACTAAAGGCAAATCACTTGTTTATTACCGCATTACATTTATAAAAATTGATATATATATATCAAATGTTTTAATGCTGTCTCTTATACACATCTAGATGTGTATAAGAGACAGTGTCCTCACTTTATCTAAGGATGCATCAGCCTCAAACTTATTGGCAATCGATAATATAAATTACGTATGATCCATTTGTTCATGATTCTGTTTTCATAAGGGCACTTTTTTAACTTTGTAAGGCGTTTAGTGAACTTCTTCGGGCTTAAAAATTACATTAGGTCTATGTTGATACTTTAGCAACATGATAAAATGTTTAAAAGCTTAAAACAAATAGGCCAATTCTGTGTATGTAATAATACTGCTGACAAAATAAATAAGTATTTAACTAATATAAATTAAACTAGTAAAAACCAAATTCATGCTTTGATTTTTAATATAACCAAGGAGGTATTAAAACACCTTGATAGAACTCTATCAATATAAATTATATTAGTATTCCATAGGCTTCAAGAACATGAACAATACATGTAATTTACAATGCGATATAAATATTCATACAACTTGAGTTGCATATTTAGGTCTATTGGTGTTTATGTATGAATAACAACAATACAGAAATAAAGCTTAAAATGAGTCATTAATAACCTCAATTTTACTCACCACATCTTAGAATAATTTAATACTACTAATAACTTTAATTACGTTAAACAAATATATTTCTTTAAATTGTGTAAGCGAACCGATCTAAACGTTTTTCTTACTTTAACTTATCGACTTGATGTTCACCTCAGCTAATCATTCAAGTTGTTTCTGTGCGCATTATGTTGCTAGGCAACGATGTGCCTACGCAGAAGGGAATGTTTGATTATTAGCTTCAATTCATTAATTACAACGTGAAACTATTTTTTGCAGAATTTACCAGTTGATAAGTACAGTTTATGTTCTACAAAGTTTTCAAAGAAAACACTTCTAGTTTCACAGCAGCGTGCTTACAGTTTCAGCCTCATTTGAAGTCCAATGCCGAAGAATGCCGAATAATTCCAACGAACTCCGGAAAACGCCGACGATTATTATTATTATCGACGACGTCCATGAATACCAACAGGTAACAAGTAATGACGAATGATAGTATAATACACATACACAATAACTTTCACAACAGAGTATATTAGTGATAATGTCAGTGGGGTCTACATTCCACATTCAGTCTTCAAATTGTACCTATTTCAATTTTAATTCCACATTCTAATCGGTGTCGTAGAAAAAAGGAACTGTCACAAATACGATTGTATGTAACATAGTTTTAAGCACCTTCCCTGTGAAGGTTAAAATTGTATTTTCTTCTTTTCTAAAGCTTCTTTTTTAAATATTGTATCAAAACTACAAATTAACGAGACGCTGACATACAAAGCAATTCACATGTTTTGAGCTACGCGTGACGACACATGGTGCACTTGCACACTGAATTTGAAAGTACAAAATCGATGCTTGGATTACTTTTCATAGGACAAAAATGGGACAACTGGCGAGTTTACCGTTTTATCACAGGGAAAGTTTGCACATCTCGTCGAGGGATGGCGGCTTCGACATAGGAACAGACAACTAAAACATCCACACGGCTACTGGAATCTTTTAAAAGTTGACAGTCACACTACTATCACGGTCACAAATATCAATTGTGGTAATTACAGGTCTTGTGGGTTCGAACGTATCTGCAGCTTCTCTTTTTTCCCGTCCTTTTTCTCCTGTGATTGTATGTCTCTTTTCGTTATTGCCGAAAAAAATATTTTTGTCACTTGTGTCATGGGTGCACTAATGGTCGTCGGCAACGGCTACGATGATGGCGCACCCGATGGGATTTAGGCATAAGTCGCAATGCACAGTCACACGAACTATTAATTGCGATCCAGTTCCACCCTTCTTGTCCTTGTTTGTTTCTAACAATCGCATACACATACGATTCTTTCGTAATGCATTCCGAGCTGTAAAATGCGGCGTCGATGCCTCGGCATCCGTTCTTATTTGACCCCTTTTTAGAGCAAGATGTCTCGTAAAAAAATTGGGCCGTATGACTTTTATCAAATGTTTTAATGCGTTCCACAACGGTAACATTTTCTCCATAGAAAGACATGGCCCATTTTTTACGGGTCCAGCTTGTGGACTGATCGCATACCGACAATATTTCGTTGCTACTTCGTCGTTTTCGACTGTGCACTGAGGAATTACCACTAAAATCCGAGTTCTTGTCAACAGTTAGAAATGCCTTTGGAGGCCTATCAGGAGTCGATTCTGAAAAGAACGTTCTTTCAGACATTTTATTGATTTCATTCAAATCATAAACTAAATGCGAAACAGTTTCCATATGTTCATTGCCCTTGCCTTGTCTTTGGTGGTTTGTAAATTGTGAAACAGGCTTTTGTGAGTGGTCCATTTCATGTATGTCCGAATCGGCAAACTTGCTTGGGAAAGCCAGGCAATTTGATATGAATAGGGGGCCTACAAGCAAAAGTTCAAGGGTTAAAAACCCGGTAACTGCTCTCTGAAACGAAAAAAAAAAGAAATGTTACTTTAATGCGGAATTTACGTGTTGTCAAATCGCAATAATCAAGTTGGTAAATCAGTGTTAAGATACCCTCCAATGCATCAAACAGCATAACGCTTCATTAGTGCATGTGTCTTTAGACCTAGTTGGTTGTGACATAGTGATTTTCCTTCCAACAACTTCAATCATCATTAATTTTGACTGATAACCTGCAGACACACAGATAACGCCATGGACCAACCAACCGTCACAACCCAAAACAATCAGATCGGCGGCCGATTCGACTTAACCAAGTTGACAACCCGACAAAGCCCACTCGGCAATTAACAGAATACTTCCGAAAACTAACGCATTAGGAAATATAAGAGAGCCCGCCCGATTTTAATACCTATCCGAGTACAACCGATCCAATCCTCCAAACACCGAACAAAACTATTTAAACCAGGCCGAAACTAATCGTCACCAAGTAGGCCTTTAAACAAGCCTACTGATTTACTTTCAAAATACTGACTGAACAGCAGTTTGACATTCTTATCAAATTAATACCAACGAATGGCAAGTTATAAATTCGACAACTAACAGCATTCACAATAATCTCTTCATGATACACAAATTATAGGAACTTGTTTCCTATTTTTCCATTTGATACATTCGGATTCCACCTGTTCCAAGTCTAGACGCAGTGTCTATGTTATTCCTTCTGTTGGCTATCTCGGTGAACAGACCCATTATAACAAAACGGGCATTGACGACATACGAGAATTTAATAAAACGCACTCAACACTTTTACACGATTACCACTGTTATTGTGTTATACTTTGACTGACGAATTTAGATTGATATTTAAATTACTTCTTATAGCAGTATATATTTAAATCTTTTGATATCTGGATCTCACTCAGTGATATCAAGAGACCTGACCGGCACACAACTCCAGATTATCACTGTCAACTCAAAATGTCAGTATGCTGCCCTCTATAATGTACTATTAAAGTATGACAAAGAACCAAGTTGAATACGTATATGAGATTATATTAATAACTTTTTTTTTATTCATTTAGAATTTAAAACTAGTAATCGGAAGTATGTATTCATTTATCATCAATATAAAAATACTAATTTAATATATATGTATATAGAGTATATATGAATTTCATTGTGCAATTGAAACCCACGCAAGGGGGTGAATTTGTTAAGTTTGACAATGAACGCCCGTTGTGCATTATTGAGCATGTTAAAAGGATTGATGACATTATAAATTGATAGAACAAACACACAGCAAAAGGGGAGATATAGTGCGTGCGGGTGACAGGAAGAGAACGAAAGATCATCCTAAGAATTTAGACTTAGCAGGTTATCAGTGCTTGGTTCAGTGTAAAGTTTGAGTTTGTGTCAAAGGTGTAATTGCATCTCGATTATTGTGTAAATTGATTTAAAGTTAGGGAATTCTCCATTCGTTGGTGTCCCAAAATATTGCAATATTAACCCATATGTCAACCCACCCAAGTTTCGATTGCAATAGGCCGATTAGAAAAGATACGTCGTTAAATTTCCAACCGAAATCTGAAATTGTTCTGATATACAAAATAAACACAATGTGGTCACAGTGTGAGACATTTTTACGTGTTTCTATCGTAAACTAATAAATAGGCTATGTGTAGATTTCGGACATCAGTGTGGCTATTTTCGAGAGCTGTGCATACTTATTTTACAAATTAGTGTTTAAATTAGTGTTTAAATGGTAGTCCTACAATGTACAAATGAGAAATTGGTTATTTAATGATGCCTTGATGATACATGGTATTCAAACACATGTACTTTCGATTAAGCGCCACAATAGAATACGCGTTTGGTCCTGCGCTTATATTACGGTAGATGCGTGCACCTTGCGAACACGGCTCAGATATTAAAGCTTTATTTCTATTGAAAAATATAAGTTACCGTATTATACTGGAATGTGGAGGTACTGAATTGCTTGTTATAAGATTCTAATAACAGGTGTGAATTGAAGTAATGTGGAGATAGTTACGAAATACGAGCTCGAGAAATATGAGTTAGTATTTTGCTAGGCCCACGGGGGCTGTAACGTAAACGCCGTTGTGAAATCCTAATACAGCTGAAACAATAGGAAGAGACGAAGCTCACGAGAAGCCTTTAGATAGGCAGTTTTAAGACAAGGGCCTCGGAAGATGAATCCAAGCTCATCAATACACACTGAGGACAATTTAATTCATTCAATGTTTAGATAGGTTTCATTCAATGTCAATTTCAAATAGACTAAATATGTGACTGATTTTGAATAGTGTTTAGTTAGGCATAGGCTATGCTTCTATGCAGGTTTTTTTAAAAGAAGCTATTTGTAACATCTGACAATTCAGAATCTAGGAAGCTTTTTTTAACATAGGTCAGTTGGAATTAAAAAGAAATGTCATTTAGATAGCGGTTAGTTCATGCATATGTGTTATAATCATTTAACACTCATTGATGACCAAATAATGTCGGTTTCCTTCAATGCAACTTTACACCACATTGAGCTAACCCATCCGCTATATACTACACAGTAGCCTATTGGCATTGCGACGCGTGGCGACGTCACACAATTATCAGTTCGCATGGCACGCGTACGTGCTCATGTATGCCCGCATTGAAGTACCGTATAAACGCTTAATTTGCAGTCGCTCATTTAGATGTGGCACATAATTGTATTAGGCCTATTGTTTAATCATAATTCATAGCAATACAAGAGGCGAAAACTTAGGCTAGTTACTGCCTGAACTTTTCTTTCATCGGCGGCATGTCACACGCGAAGAATTTGTTCACTACCGGTAGTGTTTACCCAAAACTTGAAAAACATCTTAGCTTGACCACTGTCACGTCTGTTGAGAAGTTGTTGAATAAGAGACACGCGCAGTATCAACACGGAACACTTCAAAAGACAATTTTAAGTGAAGATATCAGCAGAAGTTAGTCTACCCCTCAACTGTCATTCATCTTATTACACTGATTGGATCCGAAGGCACATATTTCACTGTCAACGAACACAAAATGTGTCGTATAGAAACCTAGATAAATAAACGCATACCGAAATGCACTTGTTTTAACTACTCTAACGAATGCTCACAATAACAAGGGGCCCTCTATTGATAGTTGTATCCTAATTTTGACATTGATTTGTGCAATCGTTTTGACCGGTAATTGTGTGAAAAATTCAATCGGCATAATATTACTGATAATCGCATAAGAAACACGCAGAAATTTAAAATATTAGGCTGCAATTATGAACTAATTCTGGGGGAAGTTTCGCAATTACCATCACATGCTACTTTATCACGAAATGATATTCTGTATGGGGAAATTGTGTAGCTATAGAACTTGCATACATTCATACATTTGACACGCGCGCCCTCATTTGACAGTCGACTTTACTCCACTTTAAGATCTGCGAAACACATGAAATTAAATACGTTGTCCCCCTTTTCATAGAATTTAATCGAAAGCGTTGTCGAAGTTGCGTAGATGTCTCAACATGCTTATAAATTAAAAATAAATACTTAATTATCCAATCTATACCCTATTATAAGATACACAAAGCTGCAAATGCAACAATAATTGCTTTCTAAAATATTAACATAAAAGTAAGAAAGCAAGAGAAAAGTCCCTGATGTTTTAGCGTTTCAGCGTCTGTTACATAACCAGTAACGATGTTGCTAATTCGTCAGCAAATTAAGCGGCCTTACCTATAAACAGGAATTCGATTGATTTATTGAAACTGATTGATCAGGTCATACCGTATTTAATAGGTCTATAATTAAAATTAGGTATTTTAAAGCTATTTAGGTGGGGTGGAAGACTGAAACATTTTATTGTAAAGGTGTAGGCCTATGATTGAATAATGAGCCTATTTGTATTGGAGTGGAGCTATGGCTTGGTGGTTAAAATGTTTGCTTTTCAACCCTAAAGTCGTGGGTTCAAATCCCGTGATACTAGGTTAAGTGGCTAAATCTATAATATGTGCTAAAAGCTTCATAAACAATTATAGCATCATTTAGTTGTTTAAGTGGCGAGTCATAAGTTTACTTTGGATGAGAAAATCTATGTATAATAATTTTATATTATGATAAAAGGCGACATGCATACCATTATATTATTAAAAACGTAAATATAGAATACTGAATAATAAAAATCGAGGCCATATTAATATTTTAGTCTTTGTTGAACTGTTTGTGGCATGCAAAACCCAACACGTCAAGAGTCTTATAAATTCCATCGGCACTTGGGGAATTTTGATGTACTATATAAATAACTACTTTATTTGCCAGTTATTAAAGATTAAAAAGAATTCAAGTAATCACGACAATAGAATTCCTCTTCGGGTGAGTATATTTGAGTGTTGAGATAAGCTCTATTACGGTTCGAATTATCATTGTATCAGAGGATATTGATAAATTATGAATGCAGATACTAATATATAAGTCCCACCTGTGGGGGTCTATTAATACAACGGTAAAAATAGATATGTTTGTAGTGACATCATAAAATAATGACAAGTTGATGACATCGCATTGGTCTAAATTGACGGATTTATATTCAGGATTGCAGAAGATAGGCTTAAGTGTTTCGACTGTTACGTATCATTAATATCAATATAACATTCACGTACGATACGATAGGTCCTAATAATAGCACTGCCGAGACAACGTGGTGTTCATTGCAAAAGATATAGGTCTCATTATACAATGTGCTATTGTGTTCGTTTTATACATCTATCCAACTCGAACTGACATGCTGTACTGGCGATAATCGATGTGTGCTAAACCAATAAGGGTTATCTGTGTCATTGATCTATCAAGCACCCTCTTTTAAAATAAACGTTAAGCCGTTGGTTCTATCCTTACAACAAAACACATGTACGTACCAAACTTATCAAGGGGTGACGCAGCACTGCAGCTGTCACCAATGCCGTAGCCAGGATTTTCAAACAGTGTGGGACAATATCAGGGTGGACCCACTTTACGCATAAATTCAAACAATGTGGACCCATTTTACGCAAAAATATGAAAAATCTGGACCCGTTTTCTTAAATTTTACCAATTTTAAGCTAAATATTAGAAATCTGGACCCATTTTTCAAAAAGTGGACTCATTCTATGCAAAAAATTACATAATTTGGACCCATTTTTAAACATGTGGACCCATTCTTTGTGGACCCATTAAAAAATTGTGTGGGACTGTCCCAACTCTCCAAATAGCTGGCTACAGCATTGGTTGCCACTAGTCCCAACGGGCGCCCAGTCTGAATTTCATATAGGTACGGTACCTACATGACCAATTGAATTAGGCCTACATTACTGTACAATGGCATATTCGCCTGTTTCGAATCGGTACGCATCACGTTGCTAAGTAGCGTCTTAAATTGGTCAGGGTCATTCGTAGTCTTTACTTGATCAACATATTAATTGAGCAGTATTTAGTGGGTAACAGCCTTCGACGCACTTCAACAGTTCAGCTTTATATCCTTTTAAAGATATCAATTGATACACACCCCGGGCAAGAGCCTAGAATATCAACAATCCCGCTAAATATTACGAAATAGACAAGTATGCATTAAGATGTCAATGAGTGTTACCACCACCGGCAGATGGGAGAGTACACACACCTGACCTTAGCTTAACCTCCATCAGTATTACCCTTTAAGCAACTACTCTAGCATTCATGGTTCTGTACTTTAATTACGAATTCTTCAGAATACATTATTAACTTATCATTGAGTCCTACTAGATTAAAGTCGACGACTACCAATCTTACAGGAAAAATTAGTCCTAAATCGCTTAGGGATATATAATGCCTATATAT